AGGATTCCTGGTCGAAGTATCGCCCCAAGTTGAACTCACAAGATCATTGAATTCCGAATCCACCGGGATAAGAATCCCTTCACTGCGAAACTCTCACAACACTTTTCTGATAAAAAGAAGGACATGATATTTTTGTTCACAACAGGTTCCCAATACATCGCATTCATAGTCCAGAGAACCAGTTTGAGGATCAGATTGCACATCTTCTAAGTCAGTTTTTTTTTCTCGCAATTTTTGTCAAATTAGATTTTGCACATGGGATGTATGTTTGTTGTTATTAACGTCAGCTTCTGCAGCTCGTTTTCCTTTTAGAATACAACAAAACCTCTTTGAAAAGGGTATAAATTTTGTGTTCAAAATCTCTACTTTTAATTGTGAGGTACCTGCTGAAATCAGATACTGTTAGAGTTGAATTGCACCCTCGCTTGTTTAAATGTAAAAAAAAAAGGAGAAGCAAAAACAGAAACACCCCCTCATTAAAAAAACACAAAAGAACACATACACAATAATCTGACCGAAAAATATAAAATAAATACCCCCCCCCGTCCCCGCCCCCCCCCCCCCCAAAAAAAAACTAAACCCCACAAAGAAACATGTTGAATTTCTTAATATTCTCCGGCAGTTAAAGAGATAAAGCATCAACATTTTCAGAAGATGATTGACTTGGACCCTGCTTGTCTGTATTCTTTCATATCTTATGCATACCAATTGTTATATTAAATAAGCAAACTGTGTAACTGACCCTTGTTTTCCAACCATATGTTTACTAAAACCGTTATTAGTCAACAAAGTTAAGTCAGATTATCATCAGTTGGAAGGAAATAGAAAACGACTCAAGGGATAAAAAAAAAAAACTAGTTATCTTTAGTTGCTACTATGCTGATTACTTTGAATTAGAACAAAATATGAGTGTGGTTGCACAGCCCGGCTGACGCGGATCATGAGAGAAATGTACGAATATCTGCCGAAGAATTACTTGAACTCAAATTGCTATTTTTTGGTGAATTCATAGCATGTATTTTTGGGTCACAATATTTAGATTCCTACCCATAATCAAAGGCCAAAAATACTGGGACATCTCTATCAATTTGCTCAGGTTAAATGTCGACTGTGCTCTCAGTATTCTCGGGAAATTCAGAAGAAAAAAATGTTGATTACAATACAGTCAAATTTGCCTTTTCATTGGAGGTCAAGTTACTCTGTTACATGTACTTTGAGGTCAATCAACTCTCACAAATGAATGTAAAACACAATTCCATCAGCACTCATACAATTTACAAACTCTTTTTGCTTGAGTTGCGCTTCGTCTCATTTTTTGGCATTTTTCATTGTCTGAATAATTGTGGCTTCTTAGAAATGTATCCAGCGTCAAAAGAATTGAAAGAGGATCTTGATTTTATTTTTTTGATTTTAGTTTCTGTTTCAGTTTTGATTTCCCCGCAGTTTTTGTTGCTGTTGTCACCATTCCGGCTTTTCCAACAACCTCCATTACCCCCTCCCCCCCTCCAGAAAGAAAACTTCTGCTGTTTGACCTCAATCCTCTTCTCTGTAATTAAAAAAAAAGTTTTTTCAAAAACAAAAAAAATCCCATCCCACTACAATAATTCCCTGCTTTTGTTCACTCTTGTGGGTATGCATTTGAATTAATGCTCCATTGTCAAATACGAAAACAGGAAAGAAAAAAACCTCCCCAGTCCCATTTTCGAAACCAGAGCATATTGTGCGTCCTTTACCCATGGGGCAGATGGCGCAGGGTTTTGTACTTTTGCACGGTTCATACCCAGTCAATTCATACTGTCAGCATCCTGTAAATCCCTGTCAGTGTACATAGGATCAAGATTGCGCGCAGCGGTTCATTGCCGACACGGGATGGGCATTGTGAATAGGAACAGAATGCTGATGAATAATGGATCCGAACCTTATCCCCATCGTGCTGATGATAATACGCACTCAGTCCCCCCCCCCCCCTGCGGCATGTGTGCAGGTGAATGGTGATACCATTGTCCTCACTTTTTGAGAGAGCAATGAATAAGATAACTACCAAGGCAAGTGTTTCGGTTTTTGAAAAGAGGTGAATCGATACCCGGATGTAATTTCTGTATATATATATACATGTAACATTATGTTAGGGGTGTGCCAGGGGTGTGGCCAGGGCTCTCATCCTAGAGGGGGGGGGGGGGTTAGTGGGGTGGCTGGATGTTACAGTGGGGGTGCCCAATTTCATCAATGGTGAAAGGTTTATACACAGGTTTTAGTCACCCAGCCTCTGTAACATGAAAAACTGGGGAGGGGGGGGGGGGGTGCTGGAGACCATCTTCCCATGGGGGCCGGTGCTGTTCAAACTTGACATCATGGTTATTGACAGACAAAAGGCAGCGATATTCATTCATTCCCACGGGAGGTTGAAATAAACAGCCAATTTCACAGAAACAGGGTTTGCGAATAATTTCTCAACTAAGAGAATGGTTCTGAAAAGAACCAGAGGTATCCGGTCAGTATGCTCTGACCGTCTTCAGGAGAATCTGACCGGGACGTCGAGTTTATACCTCTGGTTCTTTTCAGAACCATTCTCTTAGTTGAGAAATTATTCGCACATGGTGTTTCCGCAAACCTTTCATTATTTAGTACATGTACATGTATCTCCACCATGCAAAGCCTCAAATCTTACTTAGAAACAGGGTTTTCGTGAAAAATAATCATGAAACGTGGGTAAAAAAGGAACTTTTGCTATGTTTTGTTTCGAATTTCTTTCTTAAACTTCTGGTCCCTATCATCTAAGTCAGTGGGAGTGAAATGTCCCTGGAATGGAGTGAATTTACTCTTTGCAAATAAGAGAGTGAAGGTGCATGTATTTCCTTTTAGGTGAGGGGCTATGGTGTATTAATTAACCATAACCTCACGTAAATCTACAAAATACTACCAGCAGTAAACTGTAGTATGAAATACTTCAGCATATAATTTATATATTACAGCCATTATAAGTAATTTATGGCTAGGGCATTGCAGAATTGCAGAAAGGTGCATTTTGTATACATGTAGTTTAAATAATTTACACAATTGAAAGAAGTCATTGCACTGTTTTGATGCATTATATAAATATCTACCTTTGTCAGCCTGAGCATAAATCCTAGATAATTATTCTTGCTTTGTTCTAATTAATAAATTTAAAAATAAATTAAGAAAATCTAAGACCATGAATACTCGCAATATTTTTTGCGAGGCTTTAGCATCGCCGTGGAAACACGTGCTGCCATTATTTTTATATCATTTTAAAGCTTCGAATACCTTTATCCCTGGTAAGTATTGGTTTAATTTTTAGAAGGGTTTTGGAATTATTCGTGTTCAAATAAAGACATGTCAAAAACAAACTTATTCTAATATGGAAATGCTTCATCATGTTTATGATGTGACGTTGCCTTTTACTTTCTGTTTTTCCTTTCTTTTCGATTCCGCTTAGACTATACACCTTAAATGAATTTACAATATTGTTCTTCTTTTCAAGTTCAATGTGTTTTAAATAAAAATCAACTGGTTTTTTGTTATTTCGAGTTTGAACACAATAATTTTAAAACTATTTTGAATAGTATCAAAATGTATCAAACCAATACTCGCCAGGGATAAATTTAAAATTTCAAGCTTTAAAATGGTATAAAATAATGGCTGTACTTGTTTCCGCGTCGACGCTAGAGCCCCCCCCCCCCCCCAAAAAAGTTGGGGGTATTTTGGGACGCGTTTTGGATACTCTAAAATGTTGATTGCTTTGATCGAAGAGTTCATTAAGTATTCTAAACCATGCTTTCTATTGAAAAGGGGGTAATTGTTGCCAGGATCAGAATTGAAGAAGAAAATAAAAGAAAATCTGTCAAGCAATATGATATCATTGTTGGCATTTATTGGGGAGGCGCCTGTACTTTTAAGGGAAAGCACCCAAGTCACCCCCTGCGACATGAATGAAGAGTTTTTTGTTGCCTAGTCAGAATTGAGTATTTCCTTTTGCGTCATCACATGTACATGGCACATTTATAAAATTGTGAAATCATACATCACATGCTGAAATGCACCTGTCAAGGGGACAATATAAAATCCCAAATGACATGGAATTGGGTACTTTAATTAAATAATGCGCACTAATAAAGGGAATGTACAACATTTGCTTTTGCTGAAATTTTCAGAAATAAGTGGATTTGGAGGATTAGTATGTTAATAAAGCAAATATTGTTAAACTGACTTGTTTCACTTTTTGGGCTTGTTGATGCTGGAAAATTCAAGAAAACCAATCATGTTCTTGAAGTCTGGTTCCCTGACCCCTTAAGATGAAACGGAGCAATTTATAGACTTTGGGAAATTGTAAGGTCAGAGAATCAGTTTAGAAGGCTTGTACCCCTTTACTACTTGTGTAATCAATTGCAAACAAAATGCGGGATAACTAAATATGAAAACTTGGGAACAGTTTTTGAAAAAAAGCCAGTTTTTTTCAACGCTGGTCGGCTGACCAGCATTGGAAAAATACAATTTTTCTTGAAAATGTCAGCACACCAGGAGCCACGATTTTACAGGATAATTTAGACTGTTATTCCCTATAAATTCGGTAAAATATTCCATGATAGTTTGATCATTTCGTTTTTTGATGTTTGCAAATGTTGTATCTTCCCTTTAAACAACAGAATGAAGAATTTATTTTCAAAATGCGATTTATCAATTTAAAAAAAAAAACATGGTTATTGAAACTTAAAAGAACATACATGGTATAAAAGTAACAGCAGTTTCTAAGCTGTATTTTTTGGGCAACCAGTAGAGGGCGCAATTCTAAAAGGGAACAAAATGGCGTTGATCGCATTTCGGAAACAAACTCTTCGAATTCTTGAGTAGAACTCAAGACATACATTTTTGAGTTTGTCACTTGCGTATGCCCTTCAGATTTGCCCAAATCCTAATGTTCAACTTTCCCTTTTTGTCCTGCGTGTTTTGAGGTGGTTGTACTTTTTTTATTTGTTTAACAGGATGGTGTTCCACAAAGACAATTTTGTGAACTGACAACCAGTAACCCAAATGGATTAACAGGTATTTTAGGAAAAAATCTTTAAACTTAATCTGCTGAAATCCAACCCTAACTTTACATATTTTGTTTGATTTCTGAGGTGTATAACCCAGCCACAGTAGTGGATGCAGGAAGGTGTGATTTTATGTCAGGAATTTGTAAAATTCCACATTTTTGATAAATGAGGGCGTGGCAATGATGTTATTCGGGGGGGAGGGAACAACAGGCTTGATTCCAAGCTTATTATATAACTTCAGTTTTTATGTTGCTAAATTCAGAATAAATTTTTGTATTTCATTACAGAGAACAGGTGCAAAACTGTTTAAATAAATGAGGTATCGCTACTCTACTGTACCCAGAAAATTATGTTAGGCCAAAAAAAAAAGTCTCCGGTTTCTGGTATGGAGCTTGCCCCAAAAGTGGTGCAGCGACGCGGCTTTTTTTTTTTTTTTTTACCTGTTTTTAAATTTTTTTGGCTTCAAATGTCGGCTGATGACTGCAAATGGTGCCCGACTAAACTTAGTGCAAATATATGGGAGTCCAGAGAGGCCACATAAAGTTTATTCTCGATCATAACCCCATCTAAAAACACGTTAAAATTGTGCAGCAGCAGGATTCCAGTCAAACAAGTGAGTTTGGCGGTTTTGAGACATCATCTTGTATTGAAAAAAACTTTTTTATTTTGCCGACGCGCATGGCTACGGCGACGCGCGCGCGTACCAGAAACCGGAGACTTTTTTGGGGGGCCTTACGCAAACTCTCTCAAAAATATGGCCCGTATTGGTTATGTTTTGAATTGGTTTATTCCCTATATACCCACTGCCTGTATGATTCTAATTCTCTCAATTCTATTTGATTGATGTCATATCAGAAAAGTGTCACAATCCATTCAGGCCTCCGAAGGACCCCCACGACAGACCAAGCAAACCCCAAAATTTCAGAGTGACAGACTTCAACAAGAACATCAGCTCATCTGATGGGGCCTCTGGGGTCGAGCAATACACCTGCGTGCATATCACATTCAATTTGGAGCCAACCGGTAAGCAGGAAAAGAGAAGTCAAAATTACAGTCCTTAAAAAGGGTTCGCTCGTACCCCCCGCCCTGCAGACAGGACGCTGGGACACGCTGATGAATTTACGTTCTGATTGGATAGATTTTGCGTGACCTGTGACCTGCAAGTCATCATGGCCACAACTCTGCAAGGTTTTATTCCCATTCATAATTAATTTTTTTTTGTTGAAAAGCGTAATAATGTAGGAAAATCTGTCAAACTTACCTGTTTTGTAAACTTTCGATTCTGGTCACTTGCTCAGGCTCCGTTTCGAATTCACGATGGGTCAAATAATTATGCGACGCTCAAAATTTGTCCATATGGTCCGCAATGAAAAAGAAATCACATCCGGTAATAGGAGAAGGAAAAAAAAGGAAAAAAGAAAAGAAAAAGAGGCACGAAATCATATTGTTGTTAATTTAATGGGTTGGGTGGGGGCAAATGTCCCTGCCTACCCTCGAAAAATGAGCAATCGGGAAAATGCTCGAAAAAATAGGGATTTTGGAGGGGAAAAATTGTGCTTTGCTCTCCTCTAGAAAAAAATCCTGGCGACGCCCATGACTTCAGTAACCTCTCTGGATCCACCATTTTCCTGGTATGGCCTTTAACTAGATCACCAACTGCTACGAGACGTACTAGCGTCACTCTAAGTGCCTTGTTCTTCTCTGTTTGCAGCGGCACGCAATGTAAAGGGACTACAGCTGTCGCTGTGGCCAAAATCAATTGAAGACCTCAACAAGAACTTCTGTGTGAACTTGAATTTCAGCGCGACAGGCCTCAACTATTTTGCTGTTTTGGATAAGTCTGAGAATCAGGTAAATTGCACATTGCCGTCTCTTCGTGTGTTTTTATTATGGATGAGAGGCCATGATAGTCCACACAAAAATTATTCTCACAGGCCTACCCATGTATGTTTTGCAGAGTTTTTGCTTCCTTGTTTTGCAAGTTTCGCTATTATGTACAACTCCTAAAATTACGGGTTTTTTTTTTTCATTTGATAAAACTTGCTTCATCGTACATTGACCCTGTGATTCCTTGTCAGCAGTCTGGTGCTATCTTTAATATAAAGCATATCCAAATATTTGGTCAGAAGCAGATTTGAGTAGTCAAATACAAAATTATTCGGATTTGGACAACCCTGATGTGTTCGATTCCCATGTGTATCAGTTGATGTATATTTAAGCCCTGTTCATACATCAGAAATTGCAGAAAGAAAACACATCAAAATAAACTACAGTTTGTGGAAATCATGGCATTTGTTTGTTTTGTGAAGTGTAAAACATATTCCTTTGTTTTACAGAATTTAAAAAAATGTGTGGCTAAAATTGTTGGCTGTCCATCCCTATTTTTCACCCTTCCCAGCCACCGAATTGGCCAGGTGTGCTGAATCAAAAACAAGCAAACAAAAACGTACAAGAAAGATGTCCAAACAAACCATTATGGTACTTGTACCGAAAGTGCCAAAAAAATGCAAACTTCAGAAAACAAATTATTGAAAATGTTTGAAGTTTTTTTCTTCAATGAAATTATAATATTTAAAGCCTGACTATTTCTCAATCCACTCCTTTTTACTTCATTCCATTTGGGTCCTTAGATCCAGAAATACAATCAATTATGAGAAAGGGTGTACATTTTACTTGGGCCACTCTCACCTGTGATGTTACCAACTTCAATGCCTATTCAATGCTTAACCCAAATTCAGCATGTCCAGGTGAAAGTGGCTCAAGTAAAATGTACACTCTTTCACTTAATTGATCGTATTTCTGGATCTAGGGACCCAAATGGAATGGGGTAAAATGGAGTGGATTGAGAAATAGTCAGGCTTTAATGTAATATGAAGTTTCATTGAAGAAAAAAAAAACATTTAACAGTTTTAATTATTTGTTTTCTGAATGCTGCACATTTTTTGGCACACTCTGTGCAATTGAAAACATTTGATGGCCGCCCAAAATATTTGTTGAGGGACATTTGTTCAGTTTAACTAGTGCTCATCAATGTCAATTTTTTTTCATTTGAATTTAGATGGATTTGACTTTTTCCTGTTTCTGTGGACTGAAGCCGGGCAGGATTTATACCGTTGGTGTACGCACCATGCCAGTTGATATCATAGGGAGCAGTCCCTACGATACTGTTCAGAAATTTGATCATTTGCCCCCAGGTAATACTTGACATCCATCATGTTTAAGATCTTTTGATGACTAATAACAAAAGTAGCGCGCATCTGCTCAACCACACAAGCTTTAACATGGGAAAATGACCACAAAGATTAAGCCCATTCTTACACTAAATTCCTTGTATCTTCAGAATGGACAGTCACACAAATCTGGGGGTTGCAGATTATGAAAATTCATTCTTCTGGCTTTTTAAGTCTATCTATGTCTGGCTTGGAAAGGCAGAAAAACCACTGATCATTTTTTTTATTGAAAATGTGGGGTATGAGGCAATTGCCTACGAAGCGGAACAGAAAATGACTGTTTGTGACAGACCTTTGGTTGTTTATCTCAACGTATCTCAAGAACCCAATGTCAGAGCACACTGGGGGTAACGGTTTTGTAAAGAGGATGAAGTTCTCTTTCCATTCATATAAGACTCGATTTCATTGGTTAAGAAACCACTGATATTTTTTTCGTCAAAGTTTTCCCGCAATGAGTGGATTTCTTGCAGAGGTCAGTTGTGTGAGTGCACGTCACCAGCGTGTTGCATGCGGTATGCAAATCCGCAAGGTCAATTGGGCAAGCTGTGGAGCTGTCTCAGACACATTGATCTTTTGCGTGTTTGGGACCCAAACTTTTCATTATGTGTTGGAGTCAGGTCGATCACAAGTTCTTTCATAAGTCCAGTCACAATTGAACAATGACAGAGTAAGTCACAGTTCATTTGAATAACTAGAGTGACTTGACTTGAGACTGAAGGATTTCTGATGGACTTGTGAGGACTTGCAGGGAGTTTTGATGGACTTAACAACACTATTGGCTAAAGGTTGAAATAAATTGCGTTATTTTATTTTATTTTATATTCATATTATCTGACGTCTATAAATTTCATTTTTTCATCTTAAGTGGGGTCAGGGAATCGGACTACAAGAACATTATTGTTTTTCTTGGCTTTTCCAGCATCTACGAACTCAACACTTCAAATAAGTCAGTGTAACAATATTTGCTGGGAAAATACTAACCCCCCAAATCCATCCATTTCTGAAAATTACAGCAAGAGTAAATGTTGTCTATTCCCTTTCAGCAGGTTCATCTTGATTTGAGACGTGATGTTTTATTTTTCCTCCAGGATGTAACGACCGAACAAAAGAGAAAGATATCCGATGTCAAAAAAGTGCAGCAGGTAAGGTTAAATTAGCATGAAAATGATTTATTTTTGATATTTTTTTTTCTCTAAAATATCACTTACTAATACTTTGTTTTGGCCCGTTTCAGTAAGATTGTATGGTGGATTGTTGGACTGTTACCATAGAGCTCAATTTTTTTTCACACTAGTCAAGAACATTGGTACATTGTATTGTTTTGCACCTAATTTGACAAATTTCCTGAGCATCTAGTAAAAGATGGGATTTTTGCATCGGGGTGATGTAAATCAAATTAGGTTTTGCCCTTCACCGACGTATAAACACTGTATACTCTGTGTGTTACCTCCCAAGTGAAAGTTGGAAAAAAAATTAGCTCAAATTGTCTACTGACACTCATTCAAAGGGCCATGTTTTGTTGACCGTAAACTTGAAAAATGGACTCTCCATGGCAAACTCTTGGTGGCGCACTGCATTGTGAATCGCCCGAATTATTTATTTTTACTCCTTTTTTTTAGCACGATGGCAACCGCGATGTAAAATCATCAAGCAAGACACGAGCACACCACACCATAAGGGAGACTATGACATCGTTGAATTCTCCTTCGAGGCAGCCCCTGACAGCTACAGTTTTGATGTTTACGATGTGTTTGTGTACCGAGATAAACAAGGTGGTTACATTGACTATGTTCCAGTGAAAATGGTAAGTTATATGCAAATGAAAAACTTGATAAAAGCCAATTTGTTCCCTTAAGGCCAAAAAAAAATTCTCCGGTTTCTGCCGGAGCTTGCCCAAAAACTGGTGCGGGGACGTGGCCTTTATTTTTTTTTTTTTTTACCATTTTTTTTTTGCTTCAAATGTGGGCTGATGACTGCAAATGGTGCCCGACTAAACTTAGTACAAATATATGGGAGTCCAGAGAGGCCACATAAAGCTTATTCTCAATCATAACCCCATCTAAAAACACGTTGAAATTGTGCTGCAGCAGGATTCCAGTCAAACCAGTGAGTTTGGTGCTTTTGAGACATCATCTTTCATTGGAAAATTTTTTTTTCATTTTGCTGACGCGCATGACTACGGCGACGGGCATGCATACCAGAAACCGGAGACGTTTTTTGGGGGGCCTAATCCCATTCAACGGGTTTTATATAGCAATAGAATTTTAGAAGACAGTTTGGCATGAAACGAAAGTTATATGGTTGGTATTCTTTTAACTTATTCACACCGATATATCGCATTTTGGGAAATACTTTTGAAATAGTTGTGCTGAAACCTAATGCTCAGGATATGGTCGCAGGCTGCCAGGGTTTTAATCATAGGGGGCAGTTCGGTGGGGCTGGATGTTACAGGGGAGGGCAGTTTCTGTTGACCATATCACCAAGCATCCCTCTTTCACCCCCCTCGCAACATGCATGTTCACTTTTGTATGTTTTAAAAAACAGGCTTCTGCAACAACTTTGAATCGGACGTGTAGTGAGCTGAACAAGAGTGTTCCGTTTGTTGTGATTCATTTCAATGTCTCAAGTTGGCCATCTGATACGGAGTTCTATATTAAGGTAAGTAAGAGATGACTCTATAAAAAGACTCACATTGTTGGTTTCGGGGAGGGGGTGGGGTTAAGCCTCATTCATCAGTAGGGGGTATTCTTTTATATGTTTTTATTTTTGCTGAATGTTTTACCCTGTGTCCCCCCCCCCCTGACCAGTTCTGCCACCAATGCCATCAGCCTTCCCAGTGACTAAAAGCAATATTTTGGGACCTGCCAAGAGTCCCCCCAAACCCCCCCCCCTCCCAAAATTTTTTACCCCCCCCCCCTAAAGAAATACCGTGCTATGCTCCTGGTATTCAAGCAAAAAAAGTAGTTAAAAACAGCGTTTATTCTGTGTATAAATTCTCTAAGTTTCCATAACTCTGCAACTTTTTCATTTTTTTCAAATGGATACATTACTTTCTGAAATAAAATCTTCACATGTTCCAGGTTTTTTTTAAATATTTTGCAACATTAAATTAATTAAATACGTTTTTTTTTCACAGATACAGCCACATTCCAGGGTTCGCAAGTCTTGCCAGAATGCGGATGGAACCGAAACTCAATGCAAAGTCACATTCACCGACAATTTCAAAGTGATTGGTAAGTTTTACTCTCTGTGTTGTACTGAAATGTTTATTTTTTGTGAATGGAATTAGCTGACCTAATTATGTTTGAATTAAAACAATGCTTAGTCAATCTTTAACCATTATACTCAGATAAACCACATAGGAGACACTTTATTGAGTTTTGTCACAGCCTTTGATGTTTTATTCCGGTTACCAATGAAAAGGGCATACCAGTATTAAAATTAAACTTAAAATCAGAAATTGGGCAACAGGCCGGCCCAGGGCTGGGCCAAAAATAGACAATCACTGCCAATATAATGGCTTGCCATAAGCAAGACTGACTCTAACGCAACTTTGATGGACTTACAGCTAAAATGGTGAAAATAAAAACCGTGATTTGAAAAGTTCAAGAATTACCTTGTGGACTTATTGCAGATCTTGAAACATAGTGTTTTTTAATCGAGTTAGGTTAAAAAAGTTAACATTTTAATTCTATTAGAGTGTATGTAGCTTGTGATCCTGGCTTGATATAAACAAATTGTTTTTGACCCATTGTGTCTAGCGTCTAGGGTCTGTAGCAGCAAGGTAGCCATGGTTCTCACCATTGGGGGCATGGGGGGGAAAACTCGATGTTACAGTGGGTGGCGCTACAGGACAAGTGGGGGGGGGGACAATTTTTTTATGGGGGGCCTATTCCTCCTTCTTCCCCTCCCCCCTTCCCGGTCTATAAGGGTTTGTGGTTGGGTATATTATAAAGTCAAAGTTAATGCCATTTTGGGCCCTAAAAGTTTGTATAAAATGTACAAACCTAACAGAGATTGCAAACATAGATCAGTTTAAAAAAGAATTGTGAGAGAAGGGAAAGATTCATTTCATCTTATATTTATCATATTGACAGAGGATCCATGCAAACACAGTCCGTGTGGCAATCATGGGGAATGCATCTCGGAAGAAGACCATTATGATTGTGAATGCGCCCTAGGCTATATGGTTTTGGCTGGTACATGCATAGGTAAGCATACTCTCCTTATTAGCTCGTGTTAAACATAAACATTTTTAGACGGTGAGTTGGGCTGGCCACCCCCCTATGGACTGTCCAGTGTTGAGTTTTGTTTAGTATTACTGGAAAAAAAATCATGAAAAACAAATCATGCAGTACTGCGATATTCAGTACTACTGTAAAAGAAATCCTGAAAACAAAAAAAATTTCCTAAAAATAATTGTCATGCACTGTTGCTAATCTCAATTCATGTCTTCAGACTCTATCAGGAGAGTTGCTCTGCGAAGAGTTTTTTCCAAAATGCGATACACATTATTTCATTTAAAAATCCTGCTCTGTCATGGCTGCCCACAAGCAAATTTAATGGTTTATACATAAAATACTATTAAAGAATGCAGGTAAAAAAAATAAATTAAGAAACAGGTGTTACTGTTTTTATTTAAAGTTTCATAACTGTGCAGAATTTTCACCCTTTTCAAATGGATACATCATGTTTTGGAAATAAAGATCTGATACACCGTGCCCTCTTGAGACATGCACACAATAGGGAACAAAAGATTGTATACGTCTCCACAGGGCAATTTCTATAGTTGAATGCGTCTCCACAATGTTTTTACGAAATAGATACATGGATTTTACTCAAAAACTAGGAATTTCCAAGGTATGTGGATTCATCGCAAATGGTAGAGTTTTAGAAAAGGGATATTACATGTAAGTCCGAATTTCAGCCAAAGATACTAATTCTGGTTAAAAAAAGAGCATTTTGAATCTACACTTAACTCGAAAACTTTACTACACGAAAACAAAGAAATGTCTCCACAAGGATACAAATTTCAGTTTGTGCATCTTCGTGTGTGTTGGCTTCAACTTCATCATCTGACTCAGGCCCCTCCCCCACCCCTCCCACTTTGAAAAATAATGGATCCACAACTGGAATGCTTGTTGATCATTTTTAGCCGTGAATTATAACTTTTGTGCATTTTCCCGACTTTGTGTCCTCAGAGGACCCCTGTCAGAGTGGACGCAACTTCAGCAATCCCTGTCAGTATGGAGAGTGCACTTATACGCTGGACAGAGATGATTATGACTGTTATTGTTATAAGACCTACATGAAAGTGCGAAGGACATGCTTGGGTGAGTCAAGAATCAACTCGCATTGTCTTATTTCATGTTTGCATCATGTAAAGTTGTAGTTTTATTGGTCAAGAGCAGTACCGTGTCATTAAAAAAAACATGTGTGATATCTTTTCATCCCCTGTCAAAACAATCCCACTTATAAGAAGTACACTGCATTGATGTACTTCATTTCTTACATTAAAGGTACAGTACACCATTTGCAGCTATCCAAAAAGTAACTGACAAAATTATTTTGAAAAACTTACTGGATCTAAGCACAATATTGACACTAAACTCCCTGTGAAATTATTCCTTCTGGCATGCTGTCATTTTGAAGAAAATAATAAAAGAAGATCATTTCCAAAAATGTGTCACGTGACACATTTTTACGGAAATTTTATGAATCCACCTCCATGCATTCTAATTTGTAGTTGGTTTGCAATTGGGCGAATCTTATGAATGGGTGACGACCGGCTGAATGAGAATCATGTCCCGAATGCTGATTTTGGGATCGCGTCACGAGATGGCACAATGAACCTATCGCGGTAGAATCGCATCAACGCAGCTTGTGAAATATTGTCCATTTACATGATTACAAATGGACACAGAATGCGCAAAATCTGAGACAAATAAAACTTAACGTACTAAAGCCCATAGGGTTGTTTGAGGGGCGTGGCTAACTCGCAAACGGCGATAGGTCAATTGAAAGTATGAGTGGTCAACTTTGGAATTGAATTCAAAATCCAGAATATTGTGTTTATGTTTGTTCTGTTTTCATGAAATATACACCATTCACAGAGTTGAAACGTTATCAAGTTAGTTATATTAAGCATCTGTCTTTAGATTTTGAGCACTTTTGTTGGTTCAAACGAAAAAAATGCACAAATTACATATGGTCTCCCAATTTGTGTCGTTGCATCTTGTGATGTATCGTTGTATGTTGTGATATTTTTTTTTTACATTCTTGGATGTGTATTGCACCCTTAAGCTTCAACTCAGCCATATTTCCTTCAGGTGTAAAAAACAATGTTTCATACCATGACAGTGAACAACTGTTAAATTATGCATCTTCCGTACATATGATCCATGTGTATTAAGGCCGAATAAAAAAAACATGTTTCTCGTCCAGGTTTTTGAAAAAAAGGAGGAAGAGGGGCTTTTTATTTTTTATTTTTTATTTTTTTTCAAGATGGCCGCCATTTTAAAATTTCCTGCAATCGTTCAGAAACCGTTCAGAGAACTGAACATATTTACAGTGTCATTTACAGTTGTATTAATTGGTCACATATTTTGCAAGTATTTATTTTCCGATGAATTTGTGGAGTTTTTCGGTGTTTTTTTACTGCATTTTTCAAAAATAAAAAATAATTTAAAAATCCAGGCGGCCTCCAAAAAGGAAGCGGGCGGGGACGAGAAACATGGTTTTTTTTTTACTTCGTCTAACAGCCTGTATCAGTTACGTTCAACTTGGATATATGTATGCTTAGGCGCGTCTTTTTACAGATATCTCAGAAAATGATTACATAATTAAGCCTTGCTACTTTTGTAGTTTGGCTCTTTTGGAGTGATGATTTTGAAAGTCGGTTTTATGAGACATACATTTATTTCGATGCTGCATAAAGGCCGATACGTAATGTTATATATTCAAATTGGCAATACATGTACATATATATATTTACAATAGTGAACATTAACTAAATGGCAGCATCTAGGTCCGGGGTGAAGCATTAGCTTTTGTTCCCCAGCCTATGGACAGACAGACAAGTGACAGACATACATGGAAAGACAGAGCACAAACACCGGTGTAAGACAGTAATCAAAGCTGTTATTATCCCTATTACATTGTTTTAGTATGCAATTAAAAATTTTACAGTTTTTGTTTTGTCTACGTTTGAATTTTTTTCCCTTTACAGCCGATCCATGTTCTGAAAACCCAGAGACTGGCACTACAGTCTGTGGTGCACATGGACATTGCAATCGAACACTGAGCAAAGAAGTTGTGAGTCATGCATGCATCTGTGACACAGGCTATAGTACTCAAGACAAGAAAATGTGTGAAGGTAAGATTTTTTTTGAGGGGGGGAGGGGACTTTTCTATTTTTTTTTTTTTTTTTTTTTTTTACAGGATGAGTACTATACAGTTCAGTTATGAATTTGTTTTGGCATGGAATTGATGTCAAGTGGGGACACGATGAGACAGAGCAACAAGAACAACAAGGGTGACGATACCGAAGTGATGATTAAACTACGTGATCGCTTCCACACTAGCAAATCTGGTCCCAGACAGACGGTTACGTCAACGTGTCTCCTGATCAGACTTTATAGTCTACTGGGAAAAAAATATGTAAAATACTTTCAAAATGAAAGTTCAGCATTTAGCTTTTTGTTACTGATTTTAAGAAACTTGTGCTTATTGGTTCCCAAACATTCTCCCAGCATTCTTCATTATGAGTCAGATTTTGTTTAGCTGTTGATAATGCTTTGTAAAAAATTGTCTGTAAGGCCAAAAAAAAAAATCGCCGGTTTCTGGTATGGAGCTTGCCCCAAAAGTGGTGCGGCGACGCGGCTTTTTTTTTTTTTTACCTGTTTTTTTTTTTTTTTTTTGGCTTCAAATGTCGGCTGATGACTGCAAATGGTGCCCGACTAAACTTAGTGCAAATATATGGGAGTCCAGAGAGGCCATATAAAGCTTATTCTCGATCATAACCCCATTTTAAAAAACGTTAAAATTGTGCAGCAGCAGGATTCCAGTCAAACCAGTGAGTTTGGCAGTTTTGAGACATCATCTTGTATTGAATATTTGTTAACTTTTCAACTGAGGTTTTATCGCTGGTGATGTTTGAAGACAATTGTGATGACGATTCTTGAAATCGCATTTTTGGACGAAAGAGTTTTAGAGTCATTGTGTTTAAACGATAATATTCTATGAACGGAGTGAGCAATTTCAGTAATTTTTTTCATCTAAAAGTAGCTTATGAAATGGGCTTTCCAGTCCTTATTATGTTTGGTGCTACATAGTTTTTTAAATATGAAATATAATTTTTAGGGTTTGGGTTCCGCTTTGCTTTACTCACCCTGAATAATTACAAGTACCCTGCTGGTTATTAACATGTGTATTTGAACTTTTTCGCTTCCTACAATTTTCTAGTTTTCCTTATCTTTTAACACAGAGGCTACTAAGCTTACGTGGTTTGTCATAGTTATAAGCTGCATAGCTGGGGTGCTGCTGTTCGTCTTGCTGTTTTGTCTCGGAAAAAGAGCAGGTCTCTGCCACTGTAAAGAGGACGTAAGAATTGACATCGGTAACGGACAACATGCACCTCAAGTGATATACACAGGTTAGAACACAAAAGTATTTTTTTTTCTGTTAAAGTTGAAAAAATGAATTTTTCTAATTTTTATTCTTACGATCAGTACTTGCCTTACTTGCCAGAAGAAAAGTCAGAAAAATAGTAATCTGCTGCAAATTTATTACGAAGTGAAAGGACCCAAGACGTTAACAGTTAGGAATTAGCTTCTTGTTTATTGTTCTTTTTTTTTCAAAAGCTGGAAAAACTAACAGACTACAGATAATCAGTATTGAAAATAACTTGGTGTTCACCAAAAAGATCAAATGTTTTTGCTGTAAGAATGCAGTTTTAATTTGTTCTTTCTCTTCCTTTGTCTAAAAATTGAATCTTTCGCTGTAAACTTTGAATTGTTTTGTGTACAGAGCAAACCAAAAAAAATCAAGCAGCATTTTACTTGTGTACAACTGCAACTGTTAAACTATAGTTTATTCAATTTTATATTCAGTTATCCCAAAACCAGAACCAGATAGTCACCTGGTGGATTTGGAAATTTCGACTCGACGTGTTCTACCCATATTTTCTGAGGACCACCCGAGACACAAAGATGTGGTGATGAAGTTTTGCCGTTTCCTGCATCGACACTTGAGATGTGAGGTGTCCGTGATTGATTGGCAGTCGTCCATCGGCCCCACCGTGGAGATGTGGCTGACTAAAGAGATTGAGAAGGCCGACATAGTCTTACTGCTGTGCTCCAAGGGTACCGGACTAAAATACGACGCCAGAGCTAGGAACAACCCAGTCCCCACCAACTCAGAATGTGAATACGGCGACGTATTCGTCAAGGCGCTCACCCTACTGGATGACTATTTCAGCAGGAACAATGCTGACGAGAAGTTTGTTGTCGGCTACTTTGACTACTCCAGCACGGACGACATACCGGTGACATTCCGACGCTTTAAGAAATACCGCCTGATGCAGTACATTGAGGATCTCTGTCTGAGGATTCACGGGAGGGTAAGAGACAGTCCTCACTCCAGCCGACGCGTTCCTGACTTGCAGCGGTACCAGGATTTCGAGATGGGTAGGCCACTGTACGAGGCTATCGAGACAATGAAAGAGATGATCCGAGGTGACGAGTTCTGGTATAAGAACGACAAGGTGGAGCTGACAAAAGCACCCTCTTTCTTCTTTGATGATGACTCCAGCGGACAAGGAAGTGATGGAGACAATTATGAAGAGCTAATGTCACAATTAAATAGCACCTTGCCACGTGTACAAGGTGATGAAGACTTATTTACTAGGTCTGAGATGCACGCATCACTTGAGGCAAGGAGTTCCAGCTTGCCAACGCATGAATTCCTCACCGATAACTTTGAACCAGTGAAGGATTCAGGGTATATGTCGTTTAAGAATTGTAAACCATCATTATGTTGAACATTCTACTGATGAAGATTCGGGGGGGGGGGGTATACAGCTTAATAATATGCAAACAATAGCAACATTTGTCAACACATTCGCACAAGCGGGACTGACCGTGCTAACCAACAACTGGTAAACATTGGCAATAAGGCAAACGATCCCGAGTTGTTATGTTTTCCAATATGGCCGAATCAGTCATTGTTGGCCCCGTAGCTGAAATATGCTATATTGTACAAAAATCTCCCATAAATCACACACCACTGGTGAAATTTCACTTCTTGTCACAATTATTCTTTGAAGTTTTTGAAAGCTGGTATCCACACATTGACAGGTCCCCCTTGGCGAGCAATTGCCCCCCCCCCCCCCCACCGGCAAAATCCATACATGTACACGTATTTTTGTATTTTCGATGGTAGTGCCCCCCCCCCCCCCCCAGTTGGTACTGTGGCCCCCCTTGATGCTCAGGGCTGGTGACGGACCTTATTGTACCACTCCTGTGATCGTTTTGTTAGTGTTGATTGTTTAAGAAAATTAAATGTGTATACTGCTGAAAATGTTATCGGATGATTTTTTAAATACCAAATGATTTGTATTGTATGAAATACAATTCTGTACGAGAGGAACAATATATTTGTACTTTTCTAAAACAAAAACAAGCCAAAATGTTTAATTTTTGAAGACAGTGTATTCCCAGAAGCGGCATTAGTATTTTTTACATGTACTTTCAATCTCGACATTCATGTAACTATGAATCCTAAAGTATTATATTTGGGAAATACTGGATTAGGAAAATCTACTTGAGCCTTAACCGGATACTATTCTTGTAAATCAAAAAAAAAATGAAAAGACCTTTTATGTTGTCACATTTGATTGTGGTAACTGATCGAAGAACGTTCATTTTGCAGATGTATTTCTACGACCAGTCGAATTACTGTTTGTATTAATGTAGTTGAACAGTATTCTCGAGATTTTAGTTGACAATCAATCAAAAGGTCAGTTAACAGGTGTATTTTGAGTTGTGTGCTTCAGAGTACAGCACTGAAATATGTTAAATATGTAATAATGTTAAAAGAATTACCATTAGCCTTGGTAATTGGATTTCATTGTATTTGACCAACCCTCGAGAGATGTTTGCTCGGTTGCATACACTCAACCAAAAAAGAAAGTTCCCTCCCCTTCCAATACTTTTTGTCTAACTCAAAAACTACTGAGCACCTCTCGCTCATATAACGACTAATCAGTACAGAAATTCCTTAGCAATCCAGCCATACTCTCTATTTAGCCCAAAACAGTGATAATGTGTACGAATTTATGCAACTTATGACAACTGATACCGAAAACAGTTCGTGCAAGTTGTGGTTCACACTCACCTTGCACGCATACAAAAGTGCAACTTTTTGTCGGTACCATTTGTCATAAATTGCATAATTTTGTACACATTATCACTGTTTGGGGCCAAACAAAGAGTATGGCTAGATTGCTGAGGAATTTCTGTACTGATCAGTCGTAGTTTGAGTAAGATGTGCCCAGTAATGTTTGAGTTAAGACAAAAAAATATTGGGGGGACTTTCTTTTTTGGTTGAGTGTTAAACTGCATTAGTGTTTGTGAATAATCATGTCACACTGAAGTCTTTCATGTTTTGTTATACATAATCAAGTCTTGTGTAGAGTTTCTGTAATAACTGGTAATTTGTACGTTTATTCTGAACAGGTGCTGTATCTTAAGTGTATGACATATTTCTATAAAAACTATCTATTTCTATATATTTCAAAGTCAAGACTTCAGGGTGTTTCTAAGATCTATACTGGTGACTTATTTGTACATTTTTGGATGTGTCAAAGTATTATATTTCATAATGGCTTTCTTTGACCACAGATTCTTGACTATATGCTGCATTATATAGTGTTTTACATATTAGTCTTTCACAATTGTAAACTATCTCGTATTCCATATGTTACTGAACTGTTGTTCTTCACATTATATTGCAGTTGATGAGTTTTCATTTTATTTTGGTGAACCATAAATGTCATCTTGTTCTCTGTGTGCAAAGTATAATTCAGCCACCCTCACTTGTGCTTCGAATTTGTCAGGGGAAAAAAAGGTGCAAAATAATTTATGAACTTAATAATTCATTCAGTTTTCGAGAATCATTTCGCTGGTGCGTTAAAGTTGCAATGAGCTAAGGATGTGCTTTAATGGATGACATCTACATAAGCTATTTTACCAGGATATTTCAGTAGCAGATTTGTGGGTAATTGTAAATGTAAGTAAACAAATTTGTGTCGGCTTACAGAACGTGCTCATTAAAAAAAAAACACCTCATTTTTTGTGAGGCAGTTTTAAGGCAACTTGTTTCATATGACAGAATTTTAACTTTTTTTGAGGCTATGCTGTTTTCCGCACTATAATAAGAAGACAGGGAGCCATAAGATTTGCCCACCTATTTTAAATGAAATTTTAATACCTGCCATGTTTTATAAAGTAGTTCTTTGTACGCAGTTTTTACGGGTGGTGGTTGTTGGCATATGGATCAGATTTTGCGACTCATTAGAAGTGTAGGCCTATAATGTTTTGTACTTGGATGAAACATGTTTGTTTAATTGTCATTTGTAGAATATGTATAATAGGCTGAATATGTATAACTTTTGCGATTTGTTACAAAACAATTGATCGTGGCAGTAAGTGATAAGTGAGGTATTTTGTATCAATCGACCAAACCGACGATTGCAGAATGCGCCACTCGAAGCGCAGTCAGGGGACTTGTAGAATCTATTTTTGTAATGATGTTATGTTGCTTTGACCAATGACGATGCAGAGGTCATGAATATTCATGAGGTATATAAATTGTATATACCAATTGCCATACATGTATTACATTGTACTCTGTACGTCACGGAATTGATTCATGTATGAGGTAGTAAACGTTTGAACATCAAATACTTGGTGTCTTGAATTCTGTTGGTGAACAGTGGGGGTTTTGATTGGTCCACAAATTGAAGGGAAAAGTTGGAAGAAGTTACAGAAATAAAATCTAATCTTATAAAAAAAAAAGTAAAAATGTACGTGTATACATCAAAACAACTGAATCAGGGGAGAAAAAAAATGTTTTCATTTTTTTTTTAATGACTTAAATAAGTATATACTTTATTAAAAATAATCCAGTTCATATAGCGCGTGAAGATAAAGGGTTTATTCGTTGGAAATTAATTAATTTGTGTGTGGGTGGGTGTGTGGGGGGTACCCCTTGCCCGCCTTTCCCACAAACTAATGAATATTGTAGCTAAACTGTGTTAAGAGTTTATAGGGTACAGGTGAAAATTTAAGTTTTAATAGGTGTGACGTAAAAGGATATTCATAAATACCTAAGACAGTTTAGGCATTCCTATTGGTCGAGAGCCCGTCACGTGGTCGGTCTGAAACGGATGATAAAGACACGGGTCGCTGGTCTTAAAGGGAAAATACAACATTTGCAAACATCAAAAAATAAAACTACCAAATCATTTTGAAATACCTTGCTGGACTGTTAGTGAATGACAGTGTAAAGCATCCTGTAAAATCATGGCACCTGGTATACTGTCATTTTCAAGAAAAGTGCTATTTTTGTATCAATTTCCAACGCTGATCGGCCGATCAGCGTTGGAAAAAACTGGCTTTTTTTCAAATACTGGCCCCAATTGACCATCGCACTTGTTTGCAATCGATTACACACCTATGAACGGGTACAAGCCAGCTAGACTGGTTCCCTGACCTTACAATTCCCCAATGTATGTAAACTGCTCTGTTTCTTCTTATATGGAGTCAGGGAACCAGACTACAGGAAAAGGATTGTTTTCTTGGTTTTTATAGCATTTTCGAACTAAAACCTCAAAAAAGTCAGTGTAACTATATTTGCTATATATTTCCAACCCCCCAATTCCATCCATTTCTGAAAATTACAGCAAAAGCAAATGATGTATATTCCCTTTAAACACTTTTCCAGTGTCACATGAAATTTGGACTCGCATGAAATCCGGTGCCTTTTAACGTTTCATTGGTTGAACGTTCAAATTGCCCACGTATGCATGCGCAATACTACCAGTGAATCATTATTTCAGAGTCCGACATTCACACTACACCAGCCCAGCTGCGTTTCGCGTGACATCGCGCAGTACGCGCGACCATGGAGGTGGAATGCGCGACGCGCACGCAATATTGTGGAGGGGCATTCCATATTATATTCAGAGGGATGTTTCGTAAAACATGAAGTAAAATTGTTGAATAAAATGGTTGACAACGTCTAGTTTTTGACTTGTTTTGATTTTTGGACCAAAGATATATTTTTTTTTACCAAAAAGGTATTTATGAATGGGAATATATAGGCCTATGTGTTCCGTTGGTATTATAACACTCTGTTTAAAACCGGTGTGAGTCTGGATGGGTGATAATTACCCTCGGCTTCGCCTCGGGTAATTATCTCCCATCCATATCCAGACTCACACCGGTTTTAAACAGAGTGTTAACAAATACCTCCGAAACACATATTTATTCCCTTAATAGCTCTCGGACTTATACGCCGAAGTCCAACCACATTCCTGAACAGTGGAATGGACATTGCAGTTTCCCGGCACCGGAATTAAAAAAACAACAATGTTTGGATTTTCACCCTTCTTCGGATTCTGAGTTTCAGTTTGCTGGGGTGTGGTCATGAAGGGACTCTCCGGTGATTCCATGCGACCCGACCGTCGGGCCGCGCCGCTGACTTGCCCGTACGTGCCTTGGCCGTACCTTACCCGTGACTTGCCCGTGACTTGCCGGTTGCCCGTTGCTGTCTGAACTGGGTATACATGGTCCCTTTCCACCGAGGCAGATGGATGACCGCTGATGACTTAACCCTCCTTTAGCTTGGGTCAGCATCTTGGTGCCGTTCCCGCCGGCTATGGCCCTTCGACTGGTCAACTAGCTTGACCGCTCCATTAATCGGGTCAATGTTCGACTGTCACGCCATGGACATGCACACCCAGCTCCCGGTCTCGGAGGATCATGTCAAGAGGTTTCGTGACTTCCAAACTGTCCACCGAGAAACTCACGGAGACCAGGAATCCACCCACTCCGGAGTCGAGGTGCCTCACAAAAATGGTCAACTCATGTAAGTTATTTGATGCATGATTATTGTATTTCTTGTCCCATATACCTTTTGAAATTGGTTGACGCCATGGGCGTCGGGAGGGGGGTGGGCAAGGGGGCGCTTCCCCCCCCCCCCGAAAAGCAAAAAAAAAAAAACCCAAAAAAGGAAGAAAACTAAAGAGGAAATAAGAAAATACAAAGAGGAGCGAAGTCATAGTGGTGTAAATTTAATGAGTTTGGTGGGGGGGGGGGGCAAAATGTCCGTGCCCCCAT